AATCCCAGCGATGACAACTGATGTTGAAACCGAGTGGCAGCTATTTAAGAGAAGCCTACTCGAGGCTGCCTCCGAATGCTGACGATATAAACGGGTTGGCCTGCCTTCTAGAGGTCAGAAAAAATCTCCATGGTGGACACGAGAGGTACAATTGGCAGTTAAAGAGAAGAAAGCAGCGTTCAAGAAATGGCTTGGAAACAAAGAGCCTTCTACTTGCGTGCGATATGTCGAGGCATGCGTGATGGTAGCGAAAGCAGTGGCGAAATTCAAAGACGATATTTGTCCAAGTCAGATCTGAAATGCTCTTATTCTTGGTAGGAATCCGATGTTATTGGTGTAATATGTTTTTTTTCTGATTTACGTTTTATTTATTTTTTCTTTCTTTTCTTTTATTTCCACGTTTTAATATACTTTTCTTCATTCATGTCTTTTCACCCATTTTCTTTGCTTATGTTGCTTTTGTTGGTTGCAATGCTTCCACCACATATCAGCTGATCTTATTGACCACGATATTTTCTCAATACACTTCTAACGGACATATCTTCATCTCTTATGACACAGAGCCTGTTTGTGCCTTTTCGAGGTGAATCAAATTCCTTATTGATGATTTGTGGTCTTATTAACAAAAGTTTTTGTTTTTTCCCTATTCTGATCATCAGCGCCTTAGTGAAAAATCGATGGGTATTTTCAGGGAAAGAATCAACCACTGATGCCTAACAAATTAATTATTTCCAATTGTCTATACTAGTGGCTAGTGTATTTATATTGTAATATTCATCAGACCTTTCATTTTTTTGTATCTCTTTCGAAATAAAAATAAACTTCTTGGAGGAAAGATCAGAAAGTAAGAAGTTCCTCCTTTGAAGAATCAAAGTAGGTAACCTACTGGTATTAAGAACCGGATAGTTCAAAAAATATATTTGCTAGTATCCGTACAGATATTAACCGAGAACATAAGTACCTCAAAATTCCGATGTATGATCTTCATGGTATCGAAGTCTTGGTCATCGTCTCCAAGTGGATTGATGAGAGATTCGGCGACTTTCAGCCAGCCCATATAGAAGAAGAACTCAACGATGTTTACAAAAGGAAAGTAGAAGTCCATTTCGTGGCCTGAGTACTGCTTACCGGGATCAAGATACTGTCTTCCAACCAAAGACGCGAGGAAGTAAGTGTAGACGGCTATTGTGACCACCTAAACAAGAATATTAATTAATTACTATATGTCTAACTATATTGATACAGAGTAATAATAGTTATCACTATTGATTAACGTTGCACACGTTTCATAGCAACAAATATGTTCTCTGCGTGCTACTGCAGAGCAAATTCGTAAACATACAACTATGGCATACCTGGACATGCTACGGAAAGGAATTTACCTATTGCATGAGCATTTTCTAAATATTTGAAAAGAGTGATAACGCAACAACGAAATGACATTTCATGACATCATAATCAGTGGTTTCATCTGCTTCATATAATATGGAAAGCCACAACACTAACCGTTATGTGAATAATTCATTTTGCAGTAAACATTTATTTTTATTAATTAATTTGCTTTTAACGAGTCTTAGGTTTAAAGAATATAATAGGCATGCTTCTGCTAAGCTGGTCTACGGTGGTCAAGAAGGCACTGAGCAGCAAAGAGAAAAAATTCCTCTTCAAGGCTCTCTGCGTATCTGGCTTTAGCTGAATGACGATGAATGTTGGACATTGTTAACGAGAGCTTGATCACGGACACAGAGGACTGAAATGAGGTTTGAAGATTTCGACGATGACCTTGCTCGATGTTATTCCGAACATGCCGGTTCGACGTGGCTTGCACTGTGAAGAACTGCTTCTTCATATCGAGAAATCCCAATAACAGTTGATTGAACATGTGACCAGAGACTTTCAACTCTCCTGAGCCCTCCAAGCATTGCCACTGAGAAGTCGAGTCAAGGCAGAACTCAGATCAGGTTGGCTTGATCATGCAGAAAAGCTGCGATTGCCGCGCTTGGCCATCAGGTCGACTGAATTCGTATTTCTCTCGGGACCATATGAGCACCTCCTG